GGTAAATATATTCTCTGCCATATTTTACACATAGTCAATTTTTGTATTTATTTAAATATTGTTAAATGTAATTTTATTTATTTTTGATGCTCATAGTTTAAAGTTTAGCTGCTACAGATGCTACAAACATGTCCAGCACTACTTGTAAGAGGGGATAGTTTTTTTATTCAATATAAACAGCATTAAAACAGAAGTTTTACTATTGTGAATTTTTAGCAGAAACTAACGTAGCGGAAGCTAATCGGTCTGCTAACGGTTTCCAAAGTTAGCAAAAAAGCTAATCTGCTAAATGAGAAGCTAGTTTAGCTGTTAGTGMTTTAGTGGAACTGTGCCCACCACTGCGTTGGAGCTTTAGCTAAAGAACAATAGCAGAACTTTTTATCTAGAAGCCAAAGGTTGCATAAGAAGACTGAAACGGGGGGGAGGCAGAGTGTCGGGGGGGAGCAGCCAGATGGTGTTCTACAATCAGAGCTCCATGTCCTCAGGGGAGCAAATGAAAAGACTAATCACCTCGTCATACAGATGGATGTGCTCTGTGCTGAGAACCTGTCAGCTGAGCTCAGTGTTGTCTGTCTGCAGGTGTGTCGTCCCTGATCTCCCTCCTGACGTCTGCCAGGGAGGAGGACCAGCCACGCCTCAGCGTGCTTCTGTGTGAGGCCGTGGTGGCCGTCTATCTCTCGCTGCTCATCCACGGCCTGGGCACGCACAACAGCAACGAGCTCTTCCGCCTGGCAGCGCACCCCCTCAATAATCGCATGTGGGCTGCCGTGTTTGGAGGCGGAGCTAAAGTCGTCATCAAACCAAAGAGACCTGAGCTCCTACCAGGTAAACATCTGTACGCTCACACAGCAGCGCTCCATGTGGGTGTGATCCTGTTTGTTTTTGTTAAACATTCCATCCCTCTGTGTCTGTCTACATAACTGATAATCACCTTGTCCCTCCACTGAAACACAAACACACTGAAACCTCAGAGCTGTCTGCGCCAACATGGGGACAGTTCCTGACGCCATCTTGGTAGGGGCTGCGTGGCGTCTTTAGTTACTGTCGAGGTGGCAGCAACTAAACTCCGCTAAAGACACCAATTTTTCTTTATTTGTATTATTAGAACCTAAACGTCAAATATTGTGTAACTTTTTATTTTAAATACACTGTATTAAACCAGGGCTCATTGTTTATGTAGTAGTTTGCTGCAATTACAGTTCTGACATTTTTCTGAATAGAAGCCATTAGTCTATTAGTCTTAATTTATGGGGAAAACATGTTTCTTAATTAGTTTATGAAGTCTAAATAGTCGCAGAATCCTGTGGAAATACATTATTATACAAGTTAAAGTTATTAGTCCTAGTTACTGTAAATTTACTACAGGTTACAAATGAGCTTATTTTATCAGACAATTAACCAACATCAAGTAAAAATCTGATTGTACAAATCTGGTGTATTTCTTGGGAAAACTTCTGGTTTTAAAACCAGAGTGACCCCAAATCAGCTGTATAGAGCAGTGTTTCCCAAAGTTGGGGTCGAGACCCAAAGTGGGGTCCCAAAACTTCAAGGTGGGGTCCTGAAAAGATTTTCTGAATTAATGACATTTTTGCCTTAGTTGTTACAAAGGAGTGAGGTTAGT